AATTCAGAGAATATAACATTAGCTCATTATTATTATAGTATCATAAGATACAACTATATAGAAATATATTAATGAATTGATAAGCAATTAACTTTCATTGAAGATTATGGTATAAATACTTATAATAGTCTAAGGGGGTTTTCTTTTGTTATGGTAGTTTTGTTGGGAAGATATAAATTATCATTTCTAAAAAACACTTTTTACTTTTCTACCGAAAAAAAACATCTATCAAATAAATAAATAAATCAGTGACTCATCAGTTCACGTTTTTGGCGGGCAACCCAAATCTTGATACAATCAAAAACCGGATTTCAGTAACCTTTTTTTTTGCACACGTAATTTATTGTTAGGATATATGCTACTACGCGCCATTCCATGGCCTTGCAAGATGCACGTTGCGAGGCTCAAACGACATATTAATGGTACAGCTGCCAATCGACAGCATGCAGTCCGCACTCACTTCATTATCCTGCAGTGATTGATGCGATCCAGCACAGACTATCAGACTCTGACGGCGAGGACTATGACCTCGTCGTTGCCAGTCGATTGAAGTGGAAACCACTGCAGAATAAGACCAAAGTGGTCCCCGCCTCTGAAAAGGTAGCGGCGCGAAAAGAAATTGAGCAGGGTATTCGTAATTCTCGAGCTTTAATAGGACTTGAGGATGATGACCATTCTTTTAAAAGTGATGTTTCTATCAAATTCCTTCTGCTAAAATTCAGTCCCGAGATTGCGTCGGACGCAGCGCCACTGGACTATTTGGATTTCTTGCGCTTCGTAAACCCCCTATTTTTTATGACGGGACTTCAACTAAGTTATAGTCAATGTATATACAAACGTATATTTACATATAAATATAAATATCAATATCAATATAAGTGTAAGTATAAATATAGATATAGATAAAAATATTACAAACGTGTACAAAACACACACACACACACACACACACATACACACACACACACACATATATATATATATACAGATATATACAGATATATACAG